ATGCGGGATGTAATCTTGTTTCATGAAATAATTCTAGTAGATAACATCTAGGGAATTACAAAGTCAGCAGTCCGACGGGACAGGGCAGTGTTAACACTGCATTTCTGAGGTTGTTTCGATTGACTGAGATTACGCATGGCCATCTCGAATGATTGATTAAAGTTGTACTGAATGATTGATTAATAACAAACTTTCCTAAAAGTGATTTCCTACGAAACATCAGTAGCGTTAAAGACTTCCTTTTTGGAAGCTGGAGAAGAAGGAGTGAATGCTATTTTCTTTCCAGATAAGAAAACGCATTCTACTTTAAGTAGGACGATCGCTGATCAGAACCTTGCTAATTTTGCACACCAAAATAAGCGACTCGAATCACGTGCGGTTTTAAAGACAAAGACGCGCATTTTACTTTGACTAATACGATCACTGACTAAAACTTTTGCTTAAATCATAGTTAGTAGAGGGGACTAACTATGCTCAAATCCACTCCAATCCTTGCTATTCCTTGTCATCCTCGTCCCTTAAGGCAAGAAACTCGTTCGCTTTCATTTTTGGAAAGAGGTACACATGAGACAGGCGACTTAATACATTTTGCTTTTGCGGTAACATAACATCTAGGAGCAAGCTTAAGGACATTCCGTTTCTGTGTTGGTTCAAAATAAAATTAAATCACCTTTCGACTTCTTTGGAACATATATACCCTTAGACTTTAAGGTTTCACCATTATTGTTGCTGATCACGAAATTGGCAAGAACTGGTGAAGCAAGTCAATTCAAGCGAATTGAATAAAGATATTTCAAGTCAGCCTGGTTCACTGAGTATTTTTATTTCACCTGAAAGACATGAAGAACATTGCCACTGACGTTTTTTGCCATCGTATGCTTAACCGTGAAAATAAGAAGTTTGCATATAACTTTCACAAACAAGAGCACCTGGAGTCACTCGCAACCCGTTATTAGGCACCTTAAGCAACAGACATCGCTGGCCTCGAGAAGGCAACCGGAAACGTGAAATTTCTTTGCAGTCCTCACTGCGCATGTGGAACACGTGGCAACTTTCCGTTGTCCCGAAGTCGAGAGTGCGAGAACGTGAGGCTTCACGTCGCAATGAGAGCGTGAGTACTTAATCTTTTGTTTTGATCACTTTTACTTTCGGACTAATTCAATTTGGAAGCTCGGTAAAATTACAAAATGATTGATTTTATGTTAGAAATAATGTTCTCCAAGCATTTTTAGGTACATTTTCTTTAAAATTATTTTCGCATACCAAATTAGCTTCCGGCGAAGAGGTTGCTTTCATTCAACGGCATACTTAGTTGTCTTTTCGATTTTCTAAATGTATAACATGTAGATTGTTATAGCTTGAAATAACAGTAAGTCATTTTTGCAGTTCCTTCCTCTTGGCCTTTCATTTAACATAGAGGCTTTTTTAATCAACTCAAATTAATTTTTTATTTAGTGCGCAAATCACCATAATTACAAGCAGACAAATACTCGCTTCTTGTACACACGAGATGATTGCATGCGTTCTTCGCAAAATATATTTTTTCCAACACTTGAATCAAAATAGCTGGCAATAATAATGAGTATACATTACTCATATAACATTTAAAACAATTTCTGTCTTTGATATGGCAAGGTAGGACGACTCAATTTTTCGCAATTTTTCGTAATAATTTCAAAAAGGATGTGTCTATTTTCAGAAAAGCTTAAATAGTAGAGGGCTTCAACACGTGAGGTTATTTTTCAAATATAGTTTATGTTTAACTCGTAGATGGAGTGGACAGAACGAAAAGATGTCATGTTGGTCAGAGAAATCTTATTATGTGAACCCTTTAAATTCAAGGCTGGCTCCAAAGAGCTTGGCTCGGCATGGAGCCGAAATAGCGCAAAATCTGGACACACGTCTTGTTATCTAACGACATTACAAGGATATGCAAGTCGTTTAAGCAGCATACACAAGCCTTCCATTCCATCAAACACACACTTCTGCGAGCAACGGAGAACAGATGGAATGCCAGGGGTATCTGCCAAAATGGAGAAATCACTCTTCTTCTCAACACGAAATTCCGCTATGTATTCTTCGTCGCTGAGATTGTCCAACGAGAATTCCTCGTGGTTGACGTACGGAAAGGGTGGATTTTTTTATATATTTACGTCGTAAAGAATATCAAATTCATTTTCCTTTGTAACTCTTTTAATAAAGGAACCAAACGTAAATCTTGCGCTTCCTTCAAGCTCGATATGACCAGGCGAAGCTCGTTCGGCGCGGCGTCGCGTTTTTCACACGCTTTGCTTAAGGATTGCAACTCGTAGTTGCAACTGCAAACCTGAAGCCGTTCTATCCCCCAGTTTCGTATGGGTCTTCACGTCGCCGTCGTCAACGAAAACGTCTGCTCCTTGAGATGTCTATCGTTCCGTCGACACCGTTTAAGTGTGAAAATTGTAAGTGCGTATTTTGCTCTTTTCCTTATGAAGACACATTGTATTTTAAATTTTCTGCTGACAACCTTGCCTTTAATTCCCCTCCAATATTTTCCCTTGCTTGCCATCATCTGTTTATTCGTGGAAAAAGAAGCTATTCTCTTTTCAGACATGCACGCGCACTTTACGTTAAATAGTACGATCGCTGATCAAAACCTTGCTAATTTTCCATACCACAGTAAACGACTCGAATCACTTGTGGTTTTAAAGTCAAAGACATGCATTTTACTTCGACTAATACGATCGCTAATCAAAACCTTGGCCTAAATCCGCTCCAATTTTTGATATTCCTTGCTATCCTCGTCTTTTAGAGTGAGAAACTAGTTCGCGTTTTAGAAAGAGGTAAATTTGTGACAGGTGCCTTAAAACATTTCGCTTTTTCCGTAACCTAATAACTGGGAAGAAGCTTAAGAGCATTCCAAAATTGGGTAGGTTCATAACAAAATGAAATAATAATACAATAATACAATACTTTATTCAAGAAAAGAAAATCAAAAGTTTCAAAAATATCTCTCAAAAGGGGATATCTAGAGGTCAACCCTATATAAAAGATTCCCCGAAATAAAGAAATGAAAAGTAAACCAAAACATTATAAACAGATAATTGAGAACTATTTACAATCTTCTCAATGAATATTCATGTAAATCCTTAATCTGTTACGAATTCAAGTCAATGAACCTGCGTGTACAATATCTTTAGGTAAAGTATTCCACATATTAACGATCCGTACAAAGAAAGAAAATTTGTAGCAATTTAGAATGCTAATTATAGATAGAGTTTATAATCGTTGTTGGCTCTAGTTCGATTGCATTTAGTGAGCTCGAAAAAGTCAGAAAAAGGAAGACTATCTATTCCCAGAACTATCTTATAGTACTGGATCAGAGATAAAAACTCCCTATGTTTCTCAAAAGTTTGCCAATTCAATAAGCGGCAGCGGTCTTCATAGCTCATTTCTCCGCACTTTTGCATTAACGCCAACCGAGATGTCCTTCTTTGGACTTTTTCCAAGGATTCGATATCTTTTTTATGGTAGGGGCTCCTGACGGGGGCAGCGTATTCGAGTATAGGTCTTACTAGCGACTTAAAGAGGCAAGAAAACGCATACCGGTTATCGAAATTTTTTTATTGACACTTTTAAAGACCTTTAGACTTTTGCAAGAAGTGTTTTTGAGCTTTTGAATGTGGAGAATGTACCAGATAAAGGCAATCTGTCGGCCTTGGACAAATTCCGTGATATGTGGTTTCAGCTCTCGGAAAAATTACAATCCATAACAATTTTTCTCTCATAACAGTTGACAGCCTGAGCATTGACTCTTGCTCCTTGTCCAGCCAAAAAAAAAAAAAATGCTTTTAAGACTGTCACGTTTACGGATACGAACTCTAATCTTTTTTACTTATGTAACTCTTCCGTTTTTAGCACAGACACTAAGAAACTTTCAATGACTTTCTATTAAATCTGTTAGCGCGCTTTGTTTGATTTCTATTCCGTGACTGTGATATTTGGAATAAAAACCTTCGATGTTCTTTGATTTCAATACTTTAATCCACACACTATCCACATGGTAGCCAACGAGTACCGCAACGACAACTTTCGCTAGGCATCACGGGATGCCTACAAACACAACCTTTTTACACTTCCGGTACAATAGAATCCATCCCTCCCTGTTTTTCCTTTTTTAGGGAAAAACCCAAACATAAATAACACAACTCTTACAATGCCTTACATAGAAATGCAGGCCCGGGCCTACTGTTCATAAACAAAGTCCAGTCGGATTCCTAACATAATATCAATGAGCCTACAACAAATAACATTCAATTATCCCTTAGAAAGTTCGTAGTCTTCAAATCGTTTAGGCGGTCTGACATTCCGAGCTGGCCTAGGACAAACTATCTGCTTAAGTAGACTTCGGATAGTGGCAGTGGCCTGCTGAACAGAAATCGATGATCCAGTTGGCCCTGGCCTTGGGAGTTCATCCTCCCCTTTTGCTACTTCTGTTTGGTTTGTTCCTTCTTGCTATCGATGGACGGGAGTAATATCGACTTTCGCCTCCAAGGGTTTCTCTTGATACTGTTTCACAAATGAGACATTTCTTTTTAATTTGGCACCAGCTGTGCTTCTAATTGTTACCTCTCCTCCTTTCCTGTCTATTACTTCGGAAGGATTTGGGTCATAGTTTGGAGACAGTTTGTTAGTCTTCGAGTTCTTCAGGAGTACTTTATCTCCAACCTCCACTTCACTTGCAACAGCAATTCTCTTTGCATCAACATACTCTTTCTGCGATAACTTCCTTGACCAGTCTCGATCGCGGACTTCCTCATTAGTGATTGGTGCCTCCCTTAGCAGGTCTGGCAACTTTGACCGCATTTCCCTTCCAAACATCATGTAGAAGGGTGTTGCCCCAGTTGTCATCTGAGGAGTTGACCTATATGCGGTTAGGAACGTCTGTAACTCTTGACGCCAATCTTTCCCCTCAATGTGAGCTATCTGGACTGACTTCATCAATGTGCGATTCTGACGCT